GGCTTCTCTAATTGGATTAGTAGACACACAGATGCAGACGGAGCATCTAAATGGAAAAGTCCACGAGGTTCCAAAGATAATTTACTAGTCCGTCCAGGTAAATGAGAAAGAGTGAATTTTTAAGTCATCAATATGAAAAACCAAAGCACCAAAGAATTTCATGCTAAATTAGTTTTAAGGCTTACATCCTGCATTTCAGTTGGTAGAACGCTATAATAGAAATCTTCTTGACAATTTTTCTCTTCTCTCCCTATTGTATAAGCAAATTGTACCATAGAATGGCTCTGAGACAAATAGAGGGAACAAGGTCAGAAATCTTAAGAGTGCAAAAAATAATGAAATAAAGCAGTATCTTTAACATCATAGAGATGCAGCAGCTTGTGGATAACAGGGAAAGAACACTAACTAACGATTCCAGCTTGAAACGTAAGGGACAGAACTTTCACAGAGATCTTCAATCCAGTAAGGCCACCCATCCCAGCAGACAAGATATCATAGACTCTTAGATATTGATCTAAAGCAAACCAATAAATCTCAACATAATTTTAGTAAGGAGCAAGATTCTGAACCTGCCATGGTGTACCACAGGGGTCTCTGGAGTCCTCTGGCCAAATATCATTGACCTCTCATTTTCCCAGTCGAAAGCTGGTTCATAAGCAGGTAGGGGAGATTGGCCAAAACGCTAAACAAGTCATTAAAATTAAGGAGGAAAAAGAGAGATCAACACCTCACAATAATTAATACATAAACAAATAAAATCAATAGCCAGATAAAAGTGTTACACAGCAAAACCTTAGAAACATGAGAGTCTGCAAATTGGCGTCCAGAGGTACTTGGCGTGTCATCATCAGTAGCATCTTCACCCTTGGTTCACCTTGCATTTGCAAGGTTCATTTCTGCAGAAATTTGACATGAAAAATAGATTAAATGGTTAACAAAATGTCAATGCTCTTGGAATCAAACCAAATCAAATCAAAAGCTGATGAACAAGAGTCTCGATATCAGTATTGGGCCCCTTAAATATTTGATTGTGAAAGTAAGGAGCACTGACGCTTTCATGATGCCCATACTTGCTCCCATCTTTCACCCAGTCACTTGTGTAACAAAGGAGAAATAAAACCCATAAATAAAAATAATTTTGCCCATAATTGTCAAGAAATAAAACCCATAAATAAAAATATCAAAAGAAAATCCCTTACTACCAGTTGCCGGAAAGACGGTCTGAGGGCGTAGGAAGTAACTCCGATGAAATCCGGCATAAGACTACACTGGCGGAGATGTGCGGGAAGAGGCTGAACGTTGGGGACTCTGGGTTGGACTTTTACCCTACCTCAAGTCTATATATTTGATGCCTTCACATCTCGATGATTGGATCCATCTTCATCGTGTTTATCATCATCATCATCTTGATTATCCCTTTTGAGGACAACTATGATGCTCTCACAAGCTCTAGGGATGTATCCATATCCTTCGCATAAAAAACCAGATACTGTCTCATACTGATGTTCCTATAGAACAGCATTGGTGAACTAAGAAATGATGAATAGAGATATGAAATTTACGAGTTAAGGAAACTTTAATAGTTATTTACAAATGTGAGGTTAATTGTGCCTTCACTCCAAAATGAACTGAATACCGTTGAATACCGTCCAGTGGAATGTGCCTGGGACAATGGGTTCTATATTCCAGGTCCCCTTCTCCCCCTTCCCCAAAAAAATTTTTCACTGTTTAAAAAAAAATGAATTGAATATCACATTCCGCTTTTACCTGTTTACTTTATCCTCCCCTTTTTCTTTTTCATTTGTTTTTTGTTTTCTTTTTCTTTTTCTTTTTTTTTGTTTAGTTTTTCCCTTTTTTTCAAGCAGTGGTCACTTAATTTTAAGGCATAATAATCCCACAATAGTCACAATAAACAGAATTTCACTTGCAACTGAGATTAGGAATATTAAGTTTAGAAGCATGCCTATTTTTAAGATTCCTATGATCAACTATGTGGCAGAAATAAAATTTTAATGAGCCTGTGGAAATGGCAGGAGAAGTGTACGATACAGAAATAATCAAAGGTAGAAATGATCCTAGTAACTGAGTTTTTAGCTTTAAAGTTCAAATACTCCATTCGGTGCTCTATACACCATAATAACGAAAACCAGTAATAGGGTGGAATAATATACCTCTGGCATTTTGATATTCAAGTCCTCAGATGGCAAATAAATAGATGTATTGGCATCAACATCATATACTCCCTCTGCTCTCATTACAATATAGCCAATTTTCTTCTGGATCTCCTTCTGTTAATACAATTAGCAGCAAATGCATCTAATAAGTATCACTTGAGAATCATTAGATATATATATATAGAACATATCACTTAAGAATCAGGCAGAGCTCAACCTTGTAGCGGTAATTGATATGAGAGCTATAAAGTAAATAAATATCTACATGATGTGAGAAGTGACATGAAATTCTTTGGTCACATTGAAAATGCAGACAAAATACATGCCAGACTAAAAGAGACCAGAAACTAGAAATAAAGCAGAATCTAGATCAATTGATCTGTAGAAAATTGGCAGCACATGTACAACACCAATTTGTTTTGGACTTCATCAACAAGTTTTCTTAGCATCCCTTTGCTGAGGAATAACAGAATGCAATATCTAAAGTTATCCATATAATTAAAAGACTTGCCTCCAATAACAAATTCAATAATAGAACATTAAGGTCATTAATGATGTAATT